TTTGCATTTCTGTTTCAGTTTGTCCCCTTCTGTAATATGGGGATAATACTTATGTCATGGAACAATGTGAGGATCAGCTAGTTAAACAGATATATAATACAAATTTTATATTTATTGGAGGAAAGCTATTATTAGCTCCAATAAAACTTATTATATATTTTTAAGTAATTCTAATAAATCTTTCATTCATTAGGAAAGAAAATTCTTTCCCTCAGGAATCCAAACTATGAAATAACTTATGTGACTTTATGGGCAAAGACACTAAAGGAATTTCTAGGACTATAACCATCTTGTAAACCTTGCTGTTTTAGCCATATCTGCCTTACTGAACAATGCTTGAGGCCACCCAGAAACATCAAAGAGCTCAAAAAACAATAAAAAAATGACAAAAGGTAAATAGACTCTTGAGTCTACACTAAAACTAACTGAAATGAATTATAAAGTATTTACAATGATTTACACTAAACTAACATGACAGAGAAAGGGAACGATTACTTCCATAAATCCTCAGGTAGGTGGACAGTAAGGGTGTGAAGGCCCATTGGTGAGTTATTTATATTCTTCATTTATAGGATGTAGAGCTCCAGGGAATTGAAACACGCTCTCTGTTGACAAGAGCAGCTTCAGAAGGTTTTATGGCTTTTGTAGCAAGGCCTAGATTGGGGTTCTGTGGAGACAATGTCAGAAAGAAAATATTTTAGTGTTATTTTATCACAGCCCTTTTGTTCCTTTTTTTAACTCTCCTCCTTTTTTGCTCCAAGTATTAGTTTTACATTGGAGCAATTTCTTTTTTATCCTAAATCAAAGACCTATCACCAATGGCAGCTTTGTAAAACAAACAGCCCTACAAGCAACATTTTTTCGTAGCATGACAATTGCTTTTTTATTTTTTTTCTGTGTGAATTCAGCATGCTAGAGGTCACACACACTCCTTGTCCAAAGCAGCTCAGATTGTACTAACACCAGGTGAACAGTGTCTTTGTTTAAAAGATTAAATGTCATGCAGTGAAGAATCACCATCTGGTCTACTGTGTGAATCTCAGGCTGTGCCATTCATGTACACCTGTGGAATTCACTGTCACCAGAGGTCATTGATTCAGATATACCGTGGTTGCATTTATAAAAAAGGAATGGGTAATTTTATAATCAATAACATCTGTGAGATGCAAGCCATGATAAGGGGGGAAAAGATTAGTTTTCTGAGCAGCAAGGGATTTCTGCAATGGTCAGGAGCCCTTAATTCAGGCCAATTTTGTACCTTATCAATGTAAGAAAAAGAAACAGCTTCCTGCAGGGCTAACATAGCTTCCTAAATTCTGCTTCTGTTTTTCAGAGCTTGAAATAATCATCATAAATTTGACTATAATTCTTGATATAAATCAATTTGGAGACAGACACAGGGCAATAAAAAAAAAATAGCAAACAAAGGATCTTCACTGTTTGTAGCCTGCCCTTTGATCAGAATTATAGCAGTAAAGTCTCTCATTTGCTTTCAGATATTCCCTCACTTAACTGCCCAATTGAAACTACACTCCATTCAGGACTGATTGCTTAGAAATCCCAGACAATGAAATGTTATATTTCTCGTGCAACCAGTAGCAGAACTGAGCATATCAGCAGCAGGTCAAAGGAATGACATGTCATTGAAAAATGCTGAAAAAAACTTCTCTCCTATGGCTACTCTTCACTCTCCCAGTGGGATCCTCCCCAGGGTAATGACAGAAAGTTGTTTGCACATTAACTGCTTCCCTTTTAGTTCAAGCAGGTTGACAGGACTCATTCGTACCCTGAAAGGCAGAAAGTCAAGTGAGCTGAACTCTCTTGGACTACCACTCAAGCACTCACAGATTTGCTATACAAAAACTAGAGGGAAGGGGGGAACTTTCAAAGATATGTATGTCTGAAATTCAATGACATTAAGCATGTAGGCACTGTCCATGCACAGGAGTCAAAGCATAGTAGGATGTGCTCTAATAGATAGACTGGGCATGCTTAATAAAAGGGGTACTAAACTGAGGAGCAAATGAGTACACACATTGACAATTCAGCCTCTCCACAGTACTTACAGGCAGCAGGAGCTCACAAACTCCATAGCAGCACATTAAAGAGTAGCATGTTCTCTTGCTTAAAAATGAGCAGCGTGCACTCCAAGGCCTTGCTTCTGGATGCCAGCAGATATGTAGAGTACTAGCCACTTTGCTGATGTACCGACCAGGCTCCTTGTGACATTCCCCCTCCCTGCACTCATAGTTTCATAGTTACATAGATGTTAGCGTCCAGGATTAAGGATAACAAAAAGTCCTTTTTCAAATATATTGGGAGGATGAAGAAGGCGCCAGGTAATGTGGGGCCCCTGCAGGATATGCGGGGCAATCTGGTGGTTGCATCAGAGGATAAAGCGGATCTCTTTAACCAATTCTTCACCTCCGTTTTCTTGTGCAGGGAACGGGACTTCCCTGCTGTGATAGAAGCCGGACGCGAGGGGATCGCCTTCAGACCTCAGGTTGGGGAGGACCGGGTTAGAGAGCTTCTGGAGGGGCTGGACGCGTTCAAGTCAGCGGGTCCGGATGCTCTCCACCCCAGGGTGCTGAGGGAGCTGGCTGCGGTTATTGCAGGGCCCCTGGCACTGCTCTACGAGCGATCGTGGTGCTTGGGAAAGGTGCCAGACGATTGGAAGGTAGCTAATGTGGTCCCCATCTTCAAAAAAGGGAAAAGGGAGGACCCGGGCAATTATAGGCCCGTCAGTCTTACCTCAATCCTGGGGAAGCTCTTTGAGAAGATCATCAAGGAGCACATTTGTGATGGGCCGGCATCAGAAATGATGCTCAGGGGCAATCAGCATGGATTTATTAGGGGGAGATCATGTCAGACCAACCTGATTGCCTTTTATGATCAGGTCACAAAGGCCATGGATGCAGGTGTCGCGGTGGATGTAGTCTTTCTGGACTTCAGCAAGGCCTTTGACACCGTCTCTCACCCCATCCTAATTAATAAACTAGGCGACTGTGGCATAGATGCCTACACAGTCAGATGGATTGCAGATTGGCTGAAGGGTCGCACTCAGAGGGTGGTGGTGGATGGATCATACTCGACTTGGGGGGAGGTGGGTAGTGGAGTCCCCCAGGGCTCGGTCCTGGGGCCTGCGCTGTTCAATTTCTTCATCAGCGATCTTGATGTTGGGGTGGAAAGCAACCTGTTTAAATTCGCTGATGACACCAAAATTTGGGGGGAGGTGAGCACGCTAGCAGGGAGAGAGAGATTGCAGAAGGATCTGGATAGGTTACAGGGGTGGGCAAACAGGAACAGGATGTGTTTCAATACGGACAAGTGCAGGGTGCTGCACTTGGGTAGTAGGAACCAGCAGCACACTTATAAGATGGGGAACTCCCTACTTGAGAGCACGGAGGCGGAAAGGGATCTTGGTGTCATTATTGACTCCAAGATGAACATGGGCCGACAATGCGAGGTCATGGTTGGCAGGGCTAACCGGACCTTGTCGTGCATCCACAGGTGCATCTCGAGTAGAGCCAGGGAGGCGATCCTCCCCCTCTATGCGACGCTGGTCAGGCCGCAGCTGGAGTATTGTGTCCAGTTCTGTGCGCCCCATTTCAGGAGGGATGTGGACAACATGGAGAGGGTCCAGAGGAGGGCCACCCGCATGATCCGGGGACAACAGGGCAGACCCTACAGTGAGAGACTGCGGGACCTGAACTTATTCAGCCTCCACAAGAGAAGGCTGAGGGGGGACCTGGTGACCGTCTATAAACTCACTAGGGGGAACCAGAAGGGTTTGGGGGAGACGCTGTTTCCCCTAGCCCCCGCTGGCATAACAAGGAGTAATGGGCACAAGTTGATGGAGAGGAGGTACAGATTGGACATCCGAAAAAACTACTTCACAGTTAGGGCGGCTAGGAGCTGGAACCAACTTCCAAGTGAGGTGGTGCTGGCCCCTACCCTGGGGATCTTTAAGAAGAGGCTGGATACTTACCTGGCTGGACTCATTTGAGTCCCGTTTTTGTTTTTAGGGTGTGCTTTTTTTTTTGTTTTTTTTTTTTGGGTTGTTCTCCCGCCCTGGCGGGGGGTCGGGCTAGAAGATCTATTAGGTCCCTTCCGACCCTGAACCTATGAAATTATGAAACTATGTTAAGGGCTGGAACGGACCTTACAGATCATTGGGTCCAGGCCCCCTTGCACTTCGGCAGCAACGACTGCTGGGGTCAGATGACCTTAGCAAGGTGGGCATCAAAATGCTTTTCAAAGATTGCTTGGGTGGGTGACTGTATTACTTCTGGAGGGAGCCCATTCCAAACCCTTGGCACTTGACTTATAAAGAAGTTTTTCCTTATATCCAGTCTGAAGTAATCTTCAATCAGTTTGTGCCCATTGCTTCTTGTCCTCCCCTGGGGGGCCTTGGTGAACAGATGCTCTCCCAGGCCCTGATGTACAACCCTAATATACTTATAGGCTGCCACCAAGTCCCCTCTGAGTCTTCTCTTCTCCACGCTGTACAATCCCAAGTCTTTCAGACTCTCCTCATATGACCTGGTCTGTAGGCCTTTGATCATGCACATGGCCCTCCTTTGGACTCTCTCAAGCTTCTCCACATCCTTCCTGAAGGGCAGCACCCAGAACTGGATGCAGAACTCCAGCTGCAGTCTCACCACTGAGTAGAGTGGGAGGATGACATCCTTAGTCTTCCTTGAGATGCCTCGGCGTATTCATGCCACTGTTTGATTAGCTCTGCCAGCCACAGTATCTATTGCATTGGCAGCTTATGTTCATTTTGTGGTTTATCACAACACCCACGTCTTGTTCAGTTGTGGTGCTGGCAAGCATAACACTGCTGAGCCTTTAAGTGCATTTTGGATTATTTCTCCCTGGACTTTACATTTATCCATATTTAACATCATCAAGCAAGCCTGTCCAAGTCAGCCTGTATTGCCAGCCTGTCCTTGAGCATGAATACATTTCCCCATAGTTTGGTGCCCTAAAACAGCAGCTACCAGGAGTGGGGGTCAAACCCACGCAGACATATGTCCACTGGATCTTAAGTCCAATGCCTTAACCACTCAGCCACCCTGGTATAGGCAAGCTAACTCAGAAATAGCCTCTAGGTTTTCACATAGGGTGCCAACCATAGCAATCTGTTAGGATCCTGTAAAGGGGGAGACAAAGAAGGCAGAAGATTCTACACTCACGGGGTCTTCTGCTTCTATGTACTAGCACAGGAACTAGCCCAGCACTGTAGTCCACTGGCTAGGACTGTAGGATGAGAGACTGGAATCCATGGGCATTTATAGACATGCTCTGGGATGAGGGGAGGGAAGCATAGTGCTTTAATTAGCGCACCTCTGAGAGCTGCGCTAATTAAAGCGCCCAGAGCATCATGTGTCTCAATGTCTACATGCTGAAAAAATGGCAATGGGGCACTTTGAACTGAAGCTTGTTGAATGAGTTTAGTTTAAAGCACCCCACCACCATTTTTCAGCCTGGGGAACACTGATACACATAGCACTGGAGTCTGCTGGAGCACGGTAATTACCACACTTCAACAGACTCAATTAATCAAGTCTGCTCCAATGTGCTGTCATTACAGCATGTCGGAGAACCCTCCCTGCACATGTATAGGAGCCCAATGGCTCTAATCCTGGATTTTCTGCTAAGTAGCGGGATGGCTCTGCACAAGTCATTTTACCCCTGCCTGAGCATAATGCCTACCATAATGAGTCCTTTAAGCTCCACTGTAATACTACAACTCATTCCTTATAGAGCTTTGTGAAATATTCACCTCAGTTGATGCCTAATCAGGGGTCTCAATATCATATTGAAACCCAAACCATATTCTTCATCAAGTTTGTCACTATTTTCCTTTCAAGCAAAACTGAACCAAGTTTAACAGGAATTTGGCCTGGTTTATATATTTGTGTCACTATTCTGCATGTATTACACAGTTTTACACAGTTTTAATATGAAATCAGGTGGAACCTGGAAATTTAATTTGAGCTTTGTTTTGAGGTTTCTAATGTGATGGTCAACAAGCAACTACCAGGAAGGAAACCCATGTAGGCACAAAAAAGTTAACATTGTATGAAAGTTGTAGTTGTGCCTCATTATCTAAAGCATCAAACAAATGCCTTGCCACTTTGAAAAGGAAAAATGGTAACTATACATCTAAATCCCATTGTTTAATATAGTATTTTAATGTTCCTATACTCTGTACCTTGAATTTTCCTGTCTTAATCCATACCAAGATCTAATTTGAAAAGACCTATACCAAGACGGCTTTAACAATTAAAGCTGGCTGCACAGACTTCAGGAAGTTGTGTTGCTCTGGATGGGCAAAGTTTGACACATCCAACAATTGTATTTCAGGTGTATTCATTTGTTTTCCAGGAACAAAACTCCAGAATACCAAAACTGTTGTTATACTGACAATTAAGCATAGCAAATACATACCAGATATTTTCTGAGTCTTTGATGATTGTAATTGCATAGTTATTGATTTTGCTTTCTTTGTCTAATTGCCTTTAAAATGCAGTAAGTGTGTTGTAACATTTCAAGTTCTGGTGCATGATTTGTGCTGGAGGGCAGGGGAGGTGGGGGTAGGCAAACAGAAGAGGCAAGGAGACCATAAAACAATCCCTATGGTGACACTTGTGAAAATGCCTGTCAGCTTGTCTGTTCTCTGGTCGTTTTGCCTTCTATTTTCAAGGCAAGGGGTTTTACAAAGTGAATTATCTTCATGCAGATGAAAATAACCACTTATTTTGGTAAAATTTATAACGCCAGATTCTACTTTTAGCAAGGAAATGCAAACAAAGCTGGGAGACAGTTTGTTCCCTGACCCCAAATTCATTCTATGTTGCTATAGCATCACCCCTGAGAAAATGGGACTGGCTCCTTTCCTCTCCTTAGACCTACTCAATGGGCTTTTGTCAGCTGTTGAATTATAGCATTAAAATTTAAATACTAGGGATTTAATGGAGGATTATTATGACACCCTGGTGCATTCTTTGTGTTGCTGTTGGCAACAAACCCAAGGAATGAGTGAAAGAAATAAAAACGAGGAGCTGTCCGTTTAAAATAATGCTGGTGCTAGTACACATTTTGCATGGAGGAAAATATTTTCTATCTTCAACTATTATTATTGTCACATCAAAGGAGAGTATATAGCCAAATGTGTCACAAATACTTTTAAATCATTAAGAATCAATGACAGCTGAACTCTCCTCCAGAGCAGTTATCTTTTCCTTGAAAATTGTTTTTTCTACCTTATTGTGCAAAATAAATTTATCAGCAGCCAGGAAATGTGCAAGCAACAAAACATCATTAATCTTGTTTCATTTGCTCAATGAATAGTAAAAGTCTTTTAGAAATATTGGTTGTCAAACATGTCAAAGTAAATTTTCAGAGCAACAACTAAATGTTTTGACCATGACTTCCTTGTATCCATATGGGAAGTTTTGGGAACAATATCCTATGTTGATAAAAGTTCAAGCACAAGTCGCTGAATAGACAAGAGAATGTTGTGTCATGCTTATGCATCAGGGTCATAGTTTTCATGAATTTGTGTAAAAAATGCCTATTTAATGGGGAGAGACAGACAGACAGACAGACAGACAGACAGAGACATTTCTTATTTTTTAATTAATGCAATGTGGCTAAAAGTAATGTTTTATTCCCTGTTGCCATTTTTGTAACCAATGTAGCATTGGTGTTATTAATTAAGTGGGAAATAATGATATAATCTGTTCCATTTAAAGAGGCATTAAAGATTCCCATGTGAAGCTTATCTTTTTTCTCCATCTGATCTTCTACTTCTCACAAAACAATAAAGACTAAATTAATTTCAGGTCTAGCAACACTAACTTCTGAGGAGTCACACACGGTGTCATTTTGACCCATTTTTTTTCTGGTTATTTATATTTTTACATTCCATGTGTAACATAATGAAGTATAAGTTTTACATAATTTAAAATAGTAATAATACTACTTGGACAAAAACTTCAGACAGTAATTCAGCATGTTCTTCTTGTAGTTTAATGCAAAATACTTAAGAAGCTGGCAGTTTAGAGACCTAGATGAAGGATTTATCTAAGGCTAATTCCCAATTTTCACAATGTAAGGATATCTGGGGAGCAGTCATACTGTACTCCTTTCACGGTACAAAGGGCAAGAACATTAAACATGACCCTACACTAGTCCACTTGTGTTGACTGAAAGACACCTCTAATAATAAATAGTGTCCCATTGGTGAATACAGCTGGAATAAAAGGAAAGAAGGTGAATGTAGCAGACAATAAGAACACGCACTGAATGAACGTCAACAGCAGCAGCATGTATGGGCAGACACACTTCGTGGGATATTCAAGAGGCCCTAAGAAAATGTAGTGAGGACAGTCAGAAAAAGGTGTCATGCTGCTGTTTTCCCTCCACAAATGAAAAACATAAGATTATATATCTGATCATGTCTTGGATTATTCTTGTACATATGATGATGCAATCTCATTAAGTTAGCTGTCATTAGGGAACCATAAAACATAAGAGACTACCTATACTTGAATACAAATGAATGTACCCTGGAAGAATCCATGGCTGGTGTCATATCTAGGGCTATAGTTTTGTGCATACTCACCCATCTTTTAAGTGCCATCTTTCAATATCATGAAGAATAAATACCTGATGGTTTACTGTTTTTTTTTGTTCTGATGAGTGACAAAAACTATGCCAACAAAAACCTATGAGTGGCATGAATATTTGTCCTTAAAAATGATGGATGACAGAGATTGCCTAATTACTTGGGGGAAAAAAAAGTAAACACAAAACCAAGAATGATAGTATGACAAAGAAAGACATATAGAAGAAAAATCTTTGAATATCTGGTCCAGTGATTTCAAAAGAGGTCCTATTTTATAAATTAAGAATTTTGGTCAGCTAGAGATGAGGTCATATCTGAATCACTGGGAACATAGAATCATAGAAAATGAGGGTTGGAAGGGACCTCAGGAGGTCATCAAGTCCAATCCCCTGCTCAAACCAGGACCATGCTCAACTAGATCATGCCACTCAAGGCTTTGTCTAGCGAGGTCTTAAAAACCTCCAAGGATGGAGATAAACATCAACACTGATCTCTTACTGGGATAATCTTCTTGTAACTGCAAAACACAGCAGTCTGATCTTGCTTATGGGTGTCTTCAGTCAATGGAAACAAGAGATATTCAGTAAAGAGAATTTAAAAAATAACAACAGAATTCCTACTCTGTCTGAATTTTCTTGAGAGATAATCTTAGGTTGGTCATTAGATCCATGGGGAAAAATCGTTTCACTTCACTATTTTAAGGAAATTGTCCTAATGTGTTACCGCTAAAGTAAGTTAGGGTGAACCTGCCCTGATCTTACTTGGGAGTCTCATTTTTTTGTCAAGGACATAACATAACTAAAATGTTCTGGATTTCAGTTTCATAGATTTTAAAGCTATTTTTACTAAATTTCATTAAATCTCAGGCTATTTTTCTGTCCCTTTCCATGCGGAATCAACATAATTGCCCATATTTGTAGTGTAAGGACCCCCTATAGTCTCAAATTGCACACAACCAATGGGAGGATTGGAACTACAATTCCATCAATTTAGTTGAATCCTCATGCACTGTTTTGAAAATGTTGGGGTTTTTTTGCCAAATTTTAGGTGACCCAGTTTTTATACACAACACATTCACTTTTGTACAAGTTAAACGTTTAATTAATGGACATTGAATAAACATTTCCAAATCAAGCCAATCCTGATAATTTCCTCACTTTTTTCCAGGTTCTGATCCTACCTGCACATTTGTAAACTTGGATTAATTTTAATGAGGTCAATAAAAGAAGTCCAGTGCGGTAAATTAGACCAGATTCAGGACCATGAGCTCCATTGTCACTTCCAAAGCAAGACATGCTCCTGTTGCAGAGTTAAGAGTTTGTTTCAACAGGAAATAGAAGAGTGTGAAAAGATGTGTCTCACTTGTGTGGCTGACTTCACAGAAATTCTCAGGTAAGCAGGGGAAATGCCCATGTCTTTTAGTAAGGTTATTCTGTGCCCTGAGA